GATGCTCTTTAGACAGCATATGAAGGCCTTTTTTAAAATTAAAAAAGAGAGGAGTTTTACAGCTTTTGGGTGAAAAATAATCTATATTGTTGCTATCACTTTTGTTCTTTACTTCAGCGGCAAAATATTATCAAATATTACGCTATTTAAGAATCAATAATAAAATAATGTAATGATATTATCAATGTATATAACACCAAAATATCGCCTTAAATAAATGATAGAAATACGGAGAAAAAGAGCGGCATCTTCTGCAACTGTCGTTCGTTTTTGCCCTCGACGGGAATTTAATTAGAGGTCAGGGCTTGAAATTTTTGGAGTTTTCCTTCAGTTCTCGGCTTCTCGCTGCTAGGTGCATTCGCGAGTCGTTACCGGTTACCGCTTCTTCCCGAAGACTACCGAAAACGCACGGAACGTTGTTGAGCTCCCCGTTCCTTGTCCCTCCAATCATCATTCACCTGCACCCCTTAGATCCGTCGAAAATTAACCCTCAACATTATTACTCATCTCAAAACTCGAATGCAATCATACTGACAAATCCAATCGGATCATTCTGATTGCGTTCCACTCGTTCCTGCAACTCTGAACCCAAATATTTGGTGAGTTTTAGTTATCTGTGATTTAATGATCAGAACTTATCGGTAATGAAGAATTAATGTCGTAGATATTTTTATGTTCTTTGCTTGGTGTAGCGTAATCGGTTAAGCGTTTAGTCAGCTGAGGCTTCAGCATTGTTTTCAATTGACTCGGAGTCTGTTTCTTTCCTATCTAGTGTTTCTCTCACGATGTTTATGCACTTCACCCATCATAATTCGTAAGACTTGGCTGTCGTTTGGGCGTTAAATTGGAATCAGATGTCCTTTAATTATTGATTTCACCTATCAATTTTTCCCGGATTTATCTGGTGATCCTAGGTATATGAATGCATGCTAGGATTGCTGTAGGCTGTACAGCTTCTTTCAAGTAGCTGTCTATTCTGTTGGCATCTGCTTCCAGACAGCCTCCTTGTTTCCTTCATCACATTTTGGTTAAGTGATCATTCTTTGGAATAGTGAAAATCACCTCGAGCTTGTCTAAATTATTGGTGCTAATTCTAGGAGATATGGTTTAAAACGATGTCTCTTGGTTTTGTCCATATCACCGTAGGGCTACCGAGACCTTAAATAAACACTAATAAGATCTAATATCCGGTTTTGTCCTTGGGCTGCCTCCCCTGTGTTCCTTGTTTGCTAGTTGCACACGACTTCGTTCTTTATATGCCAATGCTTCTCTCATCTTTTTTGCGCCTTTTTATTTGAAGTCACATCAAATGGCCAACAGAGTTCAAATCCCCTCAAGAAATTCAGCACTCATCGCCATGATTGCAGATGAGGTGAGAATGCCATGCTTTTATAATGCTTTTCGTGCATGCCTTTTTTTTTTTTTTTTGGGCGAGATTGTCTTGTAGATTATAAACGCGTGTTAGTGGGACAGCGTAGACACTTTTCCAGCAAGTTTACCTCTACACGTATTTGCGACTTATGAAGCTTCAGCCTTAAGCTTTAAAGAGTATGGTTATTTTCGTCCTTAAAACTATGGTTTTCAAGGAAGCGGCGTTTTCTTCCCATATCTGATGGGAGATGGAAGTGAGTTTTCCAGTAGAATTGTTACGGTCTGCCAAGCACACCAAGATGGATTTTCTCTTTCCTTTTCCCTTTCCTAACTCTGTTCTTTTATACTAAACATGCCTTAGGATTTTTGAGATTTTATTTGTTGTTGGTATGCAAATCAAATTGCACCACCCAAGACTAGTCAATAAATTAATAATGCGGGCACCTTAGTGTCTTAAGCTCCTCACCGCGTTATAACTTTCCTGAGCCATTGTAGTGTTCTGCTTGTAATTATTTAACTGAATTTCACACAGGACACAGTAGTTGGATTTCTGCTGGCTGGAGTGGGCAATGTTGACTTGCGTAGGAAGACAAATTACCTCATTGTCGACTCAAGTATGCCATTAAACTTCGATTATTATATCTTATAACATGATTAGTAATTTCTAAATAACGTTTACAGTTTATAGTGGCTACATGTTATCTACTCATCTTAAATGTTGTTTAGATAGTTATATGTCTACTACATGTATTTTGTAACTGCTTTTAAGATATGTTGAGGGCATCAGCTGTGAAATTCCTACGATTAAACCCTGGAGAAGTTCCCAGTACAAAGCCATTTTACCCTTTGCTTCCAATTCAATAACAAAAGTCTATTTGATAACATCAATATTTTGATATGTAAAGCACGTGGCAACTTAGTGTGTGTGCACGGGGGAGGGCGGGCAGATGTGGGTGCATGGGTGGGTGGGTGTGGAAAGAGGAACAACTGTTATTCAAGAAGTGTCCCATTAATGTAGTGTTGGCACTATAGTATTTTTATGATCTATCTCTGCTTGTTTTCAGAAACGACTGTCAAGCAAATTGAAGATGCTTTCAAAGAGTTCACAGCAAGGGAAGACATTGCAATTGTGCTGATAAGCCAATATGTAAGTTATATTTGCATCTTCAGACTAATTCATAATTCGCAAGTGGGTAAGGCTGTTGTCCGTAGACATGCAAATCTAGTCAAAACCAGCAATAGCCACTTGTGGAAGTGAACATGACCCGCATGTTTCTGAAGATCCTCGCTGTATAATAGCTTATCCTGCACAATGATTGGATTTACTTATATGGAAACCCTACCAAAACCTTACATGATATTAGATACTGCGAAGTCTTATTTAATTGGGTCACCTAGACTTTTAATATTTCTCCTGTGCCAGGTCTAGATGCATTCTTGCTCATCAACTTTTGGGGTTTTTACTGGATGGCTCTTTTTAATACAAATTCCCTATATAAGCAGCTCCTTTTATGAACTTGTTTGGTATTTTTACACACACGCACATCATTTGTGGGATCATCTGTTGTTTTGGCTTGTTTTCCTAGAGGATCTATTCCTATCTCAAACCGCTGTCCACTGCCTTCAAAGATGAATAATGATTAATTAGCCAGTGGAAACACCCCCCAAAAAAAAAAAAAAAAACCTTGGAACTGATTTATGATCCTCTGGCTTTCCTTCATAAACTCTAAACTGTGCATGTTTAATTGAAGACCTAATCCTATATCCTTCATTATCCAGGTTGCAAATATGATAAGATTTTTAGTTGATAGCTACAACAAGCCTGTTCCTGCTATACTGGAGATTCCTTCCAAAGACCATCCTTATGATCCTGCGCATGATTCTGTCCTTTCGCGAGTGAAATATCTCTTTTCTGCTGAATCTGTGGCATCTGGCAGACGTTGAACTCGAAGCTTGTTTCATTTCACATTCCCCCTCCCCCTTCCAACGCCCCCGGAAAAAACCTTAAAAAATTCTCTCCTGTTGAATTGTAACTTGGATAATTTAGCTTTCGTGGGGTTGTTTTCTTTCCTTTTTGAATAAATTAGCATGGTGCCTTTGTATTGCATGGAGTCTGAAGAAATAAGATGCATGGTTTATGGTTCATAACTAGTGATTTGTTAAAATTTTTATATTACATAGAGATTATATTAAACAAAATAGATGTTGCTTTTTCTCCGCCTCAAATTGTCAATTTTTCACTTGAGGTTTGGTACACAATGAAGATAAGGATATATCTATATATATATATATATATAAATATATTTTTGTCATCGAATATAAGGATAATTTGATAAGCGAATGCGCGTTTAGTTTAATGAAAAATAGTGATAGCTTAAAAAATGAAGGCAGAAAAAGTGATTACAATGCTCTAAAATATAAAAAATAATGACACAATGTTTTTTAGGTAAATATGATTTTTAAAGGTAAGTTCAGCCCGAGCATAAGTAGCCGTCAGGTTTAGGCTCTTTTGCAGGAAATTACGCAGTAGGGATAAAGTTTTTAAAAAGAAATGAGTGGACTCTCATGAATTATAAATCGTAGAAGGTTCATGAATCTTAAATGTTCACTAATAAATGTTGGAAGCTTAATGATAAATGATGGAAAATTATTTATAAAGTCCCTCATAAATTGTGAAAGTTTTATAAACTTTAAATACTTAATTATAATAATAGAAAGAGTTAATTATAAAAGTCAAAAGATCAATTCGCTGAATTCTTTGAAATGTTTGAATTGTATTCATAATTTACAACTTATCCACAGCTAGTCTTCTATTATTTACCGCTAAAATTTAACGATGTATAATTAATCTTTTAAAATTTATATAATTTTCGCAATTTATAATCTATTTGCAATTAACTTTCGATTTTCAACCAAATTATGTATTGAGTTATGCATCGAGGATATTTTCATTCATTCATTTTGGATAATTTTGAAAATTTATGATATTTTAAAATAATTAATTTTCATAACTTCGCTAACAAAAAACATAAATCCATAAGGAAAAAGGTCATAAACAAAAAAAAAAAGCAAATAAAAACTCTCTAACGCGTGAAATTATGATTTGGGATCTTTAATTTGAAAAATGACAAATAAAGACCCGATCCTATATTGTAAATATGAAATTTTGATGAAACGTTTGAAATGTTCTTCAGCTAAATTATGATTTGGTTTACTGAACTTGTCATTTTCATAGTTAACTTGTCATTTGGTATACCCTCAACTAAATTGTGATTTGCTCTATTGAAATTGTCATTCGCTAAAGTAAACATATCATTTCCCATAGTTAACCTATCATTTGACTGAAGGGTATTTCAGACATTTCATTAAAATTTCATATTTATAATATGAGACCGAGTTTTCATTTATTATTTTTTAAATTGAGAATCCCAAATTATAATTTCATATATTACTAGGTTTTTATTTGCTATTTTTCTTGAACAAAAACGTTATATCGTGACGAAGGAAATTTCTTTCGAATCTCGTTGGATACTTGCTTTCCCCTCCCCTGAATCTTCTCTGCTGCCCTAGCGTCTATTGAGGACCAGAGCATTAGGATTAGCCCCATCCGTCATGGACCTAATACTGGAACTTGGCCCACGATAAAGGATAAGAAGTACAATTCGAAAGAAACTCCTGAGTTGTTAAAATCGGTTGTTTGTCGGTTTCTGAGCTTCGTTATGAACCTCCTTCTTTTGGTGTATTGAATTTATGAAATTGATTTTCGAATGCTACCTCTTGGATTGTTTTTGCAGTGAGTGCCGTAAAATGAAATTGTTATGCTTTTGTGCGAAATGTTTCGTGGCAATTCTATTTTGATTGATCACATGCTTCATTATGTTTCAAACTCCTCTCTTCTCAGAGGCTGAGGTGCCACAAGCAGTGAACAATGCTGGGAATTTCGTATGGAGAGCTGTTTCTGTTGATTGGAGCTACTGCTGCTTTGATCGGTACTTACCCGCATTTATCAAATTTATTTCTTAGCGCAATTTCAAATTACTTATCCACCAAACTGTATAATAGGCCCAAAGGATTTGCCAAGGATTGCTAGAACGGCAGGGAGGCTAGCTGGCCGAGCTGTTGGATACGTGCAGTTGGCTCGTGGCCAGTTCGACTCTGTTATGGAGCAAACTCAAGCTCGCCAGGTGCTCCCTTTTTATCCAAGGCAGTATGATGTGGATTGAATATATATATATATATATATATATAACACTACCTGATCATATATTAGATGATAAATGTGTCCCCTTTGTTGCTTGAGGTGCAGGCGAGAAAATAAATAAAAAATAGATGGAGAATAGGAATAGAAATTGTGGCTGACTTATTCTATGCGCTCGAAATTCTAGCTATCTATTTTCTGGTTTGTTTACTTTTCTGTCTTTTCATTCATTTTGTTCTCTTGTTGTGGGTTCCTATAAATATTCCTGTCAATAGCTGTATGCCAATTCTCTAGACCAGTTGAAGTCAGTTTATCTTGTCAGTGCAGTCTCCAACTTCATCCCTTCCTCTCCTTTCATTCTCTCTACTCCTCCCATCAGTGAGGAAGTGGGGGGTTCAACATAATCTTTCTTTCTTTCTTTAGAAAAGGAAAAAAAGGAGATGAGAACAATTAAAAAGCCTAATTTCTTGAATGAATGTGATGCACTTTGGATATCTTCGATCAATATTTCTGATAAAAAATATTTTTGTTAGGAGCATATCTATATATCTCATCCGAGGATCACCTTTATCCAAACTAACTTTTGGCCATGGCATTCCTTTGCAGAATTTAAATTATATTACGTTCATTTGTTATTTTTTCAGGTTCATAAGGAATTGCAGGATACAATGGCCCAGCTAGATGCCATACGGCATGAAATTCGAAGCATATCAATCATAAATCCTGGTCCTTTGACCCGGAGGCTTGTGGATAATATTGACCTCAAATCTACCTCAGATGGTATTATCTGAACAAATAATTTTAGGCATATTGTTGTATGCACTAGATTTTTACAGACATGGTTGCTGAAACTCTGTACAATTCTGCAATGCTCTTCTTATTTTATTTAGGCAATAGTAAACCAGAAAGCACTAGTTGGGAGAATAACTCAGCATCCACTGTTTCCAAGGTTTATCTTGCAGCTTCAAATAATTATATATAATGCTTTAGGATCTGATTATACTCACATGCCTACCTTTGGTTCTAGGATTCTGCTTCACTGCCTTCAGATCCATGCAATATGCATAGTCAAACTACTATTGGTCTTGCCAATAGGAAACCAGAAAACATTAGCGGAAAGAATGACTTAGTACTCTCTGTTATCAAGGTTTACTTTGGAGCTTCGAATAATTATATTCTGTTTTAGGATCTTAGCATATCACGTGCCTATTTTTGTTTCCAGGATTCTGCACTACCATCCTCAGATTCATGCAATATGCATTGTCAAGCAACTACCTATGCCAGATTGGCTGAGTCTCCTGCGATAAAGAATAACCTGTCAACTAGTAATACTGAAGTGAGGATTGACAACGAACTGCCCCTTGCTGTCATTCCAATATCTGCCGAAGATGCTGGACTGTCACCGAATCGTGGGGGTGATGATCATTTACCATTTATGTTTTCTTGTTGCTTGTCATCTACATGGTTGGCTTTTGACATCATTCTTATTCGGCTACCTCTGGTTTATCTGGCTTAAAATTACAAATGATGAATATCGGTAGTTAATGCATATAAAAAAAGTATAAGTTCTTGAAAAATGTGTGGCAGCTCTCTGGATTTGTATGATTGTGTGACCAGTTTTCTTTTTTAATTTGACTTATTTGGTATGAGGAGAAATGTTGAAGAAGTGCCCTTGTTATTGATTAATATTTAAACTGAGCAGCCCATGACATCATTGTTTTGGCAGCTGATGTGACAGGATCTGACATAGTTTTGGAAGCAATTCTAGAGGCTGAGGTAGCTCATAATGCAAAGGAATTCTTTTCACAGCCCCGAAACCAAATATGAAAGGTATGGTAATACTACGTGATACCTCATTCTCCAAGATATATGTGCTTAGATTTTAGCATCTGCAAATATAAAATTATATCAATTTAGCGGGCAGTTTTAATGAAGGCATTGGGTTAGTACTTTGTGCACGCGCGCGGGCATAGGGAATTATTAGTTTTTGGTGTTGAACTGGAAAGATGTCAGTAATAATTTGCAAACATCAATGAGGAGATGTGATATCAACAAATATTAACTTCTATGTTCAGGATAGGAAACGTCTAGGAATCTATGGGTTAAAAATTGTTGACTGTTACCTTTGAAAGAAAGGATGTGGCTGATATTCGGATATTCCTAGTGACACTGGCAATTGACAAAGTAGTCATTGGGGGCTACTATTCCTGGTGACACTATGGCAATGAAGGTTTTCTGCTTCTGCATATTAGAATGTGGCGAGAAACTGGTGCATGATGAACACATGACCTTATAACTAGCAAATCATTTAAGCAATGTGACGTCAGGGGGCCGAAGGAAGCGAGAAGCTATTCATTTTTCCCCCCGATAGAAAGCAATTCTTTATGTCAGAGTTGTTGAGAACTTTTTATTGACCTAGAATCCCTTACAAAAGCCGAGAGGATCTTATGCTTCCTAATTTGGTGTATAACCAACTTATTCAGTGTTTTGTCTAAAGTCTTGGAGATTGTTCGCATGTACTTGGAGAGATATTGTGCATATTATGTCTTGCTTTATTGCTTGTAAGTTGCAACATTTCCACACTCTCCAGATACGAACGATAGGTCTTTTGCTTGCAGGGGAAAGCGAGATATGGAAGAAGACTGCATCACAAAGAGCCCTTGCAGTACATGCAAGGGATTTGCCTTTCCGGGCTATAGTAACTAGTAGCAGATGATAAACCGTTAGCCAACATGGATAGTTGCTACTGTGATTGTCATTGGGGTAAAGCCTGGCCCATTGTATTTTTTTAATTTATTGGTCACAAGCCTAGCCCCATTAACTCAGGCTGCTGTATAGACGAAAGAAGCTTCTTTGTTATTCGGGCTCAGCCTCAGTGTCTTCTTTCCATTCGGAGTCTTGAGTCTTTTTTGCGGATCACTCTTTTATGTGCTTTTTAATTTATATCATTTTGATGTTTTTCCCCAAAAAAAAAAAAAAAAAAACGGAAGAGGACAAGGACTTTTCTGTCGGGGGGAACCCTGAAAACATTTTTAAGTGATATAGAATGACGCCCCAGTTCTCCCCTTTACCCCACTTCTTTCTACTTGTGTTTCTTATTTTCTCGAGGTGAATCAACATGAAAGTTTGACTTGTTTTTGTCTACTTGTGTCTCTTATTTTCACGAAGTGAATAAACATGAAAGTTTGACTTGTTTTTGTCCGAAGTGAAATTGATTTTTGAAAACGTGATTATTATTAACAATGTAACGGTAACAGAATTGCGTTGTACTCCTCCGGTCCTTATTATAAGACCCAATTTGACTTTTATTTGGTCCTAATTATAAGACCCAATCCATTTTGTCTCTTATATTTATGTATTTTTTTCCAAGATAATCCTTCTAATAATGATAGTTTTAGCCAATATACTTAATTAGCAAGGATATTTTAGGAATGACAACACTTATTTATTATAAATAACCAACTTAACTTACTTCCTTAATCTCCTCAAATAAGTCAATTGGGTCTTATAATTAGGACCGAAGGAGTATAATATTAGAGAAGAAGGGTGACTTTGTGGGTGAGAATTGCAGTCATACCTTTTCTTTCTTCTTTCTTATTCAAAATCGTACGGCCTGAAAAGAAAATGGGTTGGAATTAATTAATTATATTTTTTAAAAAGTGTTACTTCAATTCTAAATATAAGAGTTATTTTATAATATAATATAAAATTTATTTTATAGTGTAATTTAAAGGGAGAATTTCACTGTAGGACCGCAGAAGACAATTAATATCAAAGAGCCCCCAAAACTTTCTGAAACCTCACTGCAGGACCAAGGGACCAATCTGATATTAATTTTTAGAGTGAGATTACAATAATACCCCTCTCTTTTTATTTTATTAAAAAATAAATATTTACCGGAGTTACTGTTCTAGCCACCGGAGGTCGGAGGTTCGGCCACCGGCGCTCAGGTGGCCGCCGTCAGGGGTTCGGTCACCGGTGGCCGGAACAGTAACTCCGGCGAGACCTCCGGTGGCCGGAGTTTTTTTTGTTTAAAACAAAGTGGCCAAGGGAGGGTTTTGAACCCAGGACCCCTTGGCACACCAAAAGACTTGTAACCACCAAGCCAAGCAACCCATTCAATCATAAGATGCAAATAAAACTATATATAACAAAATAAACGCAACAGTCCAAATGTAAGTGAACAGGTGAAATTAGACGATTTACAAGTGGAATTCAAAAATTTGCAACAAAAATTAGGCAATTTACAAATAACATAATAGAAGTCATAACCCAAAATGCAAGTGTTTAAGTGCAAATGAGCAAGTGAAATTTGAAGATTTACAATAAAAGTTTATGGATTTACAACCCAAATTTGGGAAACACAAGAGAATTCACAATCCAAAATATAAGTGTTTGAGTGTAAGTGAACAAGTGAAATTAGACGATTTACAAGTGTAATTCAACAATTTACAACAAAAATTAGACAATTTACAAATAACATAATAGAAGTCATAACCCCAAATGCAAGTGTTTAAGTGCAAATGAGCAAGTGAAATTTGAAGATTTACAATAAAAGTTTATGGATTTACAACCCAAATTTGGGAAACACAAGAGAATTCACAATCCAAAATATAAGTGTTTGAGTGTAAGTGAACAAGTGAAATTAGACGATTTACAAGTGTAATTCAACAATTTACAACAAAAATTAGACAATTTACAAATAACATAATAGAAGTCATAACCCCAAATGTAAGTGTTTAAGTGCAAATGAGCAAGTGAAATTTGAAGATTTACAATAAAAGTTTATGGATTTACAACCCAAATTTGGTAAACACAAGAGAATTCACAACCCAAATGTAAGTGTTTGAGTGTAAGTGAACAAGTGAAATTAGACGATTTACAAGTGGAATTTAGAAATTTACAACAAAAATTAGGCAATTTACAAATAACATAATAGAAGTCATAACCCCAAATGCAAGTGTTTAAGTGCAAATGAGCAAGTGAAATTGTCGAATTTCACTTGCAAATCTATAAACTTTTGTTGTAAATCTTCAAATTTTATTTGCTCGTTTACACTTAAACACTTGTATTTGGGATTGTGAGTTCTATTATGTTATTTGTAAATTGCCTAATTTTTGTTGTAAATTGCTGAATTCCATTTGTAAATCGTCTAATTTCACTTGTTCACTTACACTCAAACACTTACATTTTGGGTTGTGAATTCTCTTGTGTTTCCCAAATTTGGGTTGTAAATCCATAAACTTTTATTGTAAATCTTCAAATTTCACTTGCTCATTTGCACTTAAACACTTGCATTTTGGGTTATGACTTCTATTATGTTATTTGTAAATTGCCTAATTTTTGTTGCAAATTTTTGAATTCCACTTGTAAATCGTCTAATTTCACCTGTTCACTTACATTTGGACTGTTGCGTTTATTTGTTATATATAGTTTTATTTGCATTTTATGATTGAATGGGTTGCTTGGCTTGGTGGTTACAAGTCTTTTGGTGTGCCAAGGGGTCCTGGGTTCAAACCCTCCCTTGGCCACTTTGTTTTAAACAAAAAAAACTCCGGCCACCGGAGGTCTCGCCGGAGTTACTGTTCCGGCCACCGGTGACCGGACCCTGACGACGGCCACCTAAGCGCCGGTGGCCGGAACAGTAACTCCGGTAAATATTTATTTTTTAACAAAATTAAAAGGGAGGGGTATTATTGTAATCTCACTCTAAAATGAGGGGCAGTGGCGTCATTTCGTTTGTGGAACTAATATCAGATTGGTCCCTTGATCTTGCAATGAGGTTTCAGAAAATTTTAGGGGCTCTTTGATATTAATTGTCTTCTGCGGTCCTACAGTAAAATTCTCTCTAATTTAAAATTGGAGGGGTTCATGAGTTGGGCAGTGCTGAAGAATTGGGCTCTGCTGACAAGGATTCTACATCTTCACCCTGCCGTCCTCACGGTTTTTGTATTATGATGACGAGTCTTTTGGTGTGGATGGTTATTTATGTAGCACTGGGCTCTTGACTACAAATTAAATTTTATGTTAAAATAATATTAGAAAGAAAATTAAATTATACTTTAAAAAAGTGATTTTACAATATACAAAATAAATATGTGAATAGAGTTTTATCTCGATTTAAGTGAACAGTATTTTTATATTTTTTATTGTAGCGCATTGACTTTTCAACAGTAATTGTCCTTTGGAATGACAAACATATAAATTTTGTTTTTAAGTTTATCAAGTTTAATTCATTTTCCATCAATTCTGGCAAAATTAATACTTCTCGCGGCCCCATTTGCCACAGTGACTGTAAATGTTTTTCCCTTTTTTTTTAATTAGAATGACAGATAATAACAATATTAAAGTTATAAGTAAAATATTTTTTTGAAAACTTTCATATCATTTTAAACTACGCCATGCGTTATCATATAGGTTTATTTTGGCCGAGACCCCCTGGACTAACAACAACGTCTGATATAAATAAGAGGAAAGGCAGGGTGGACCTGTAAATTATCTAAAATGGAGCCCCTTTTAGATAAAGGGCAGATTTCTCCTAAACTCGGCATAAAGCCACCACTTCCCATTGGTCTGTTCTCCACGCTCTCTGAGAACTGACCAGTACTGCTTCGTGAAAATAAGGCAGAGGAGGAAAAAAGCTACTCTGCGGGGGTTGGAAAAATTCTCTGCGCTTCATGTAGATAGGAATCGAGTCCTTCAATTGTTTCTCAGCACGACTCGTCCCGAGTCTTGACTCATGGCCAATAACCCATCCGAGGCTTCCACCGACGACTTCTTCGAACAAATCCTTGGGCTCCCAACCTTCGCTTCCATTGACTCCGGCCTGGCTGGAGCTGATGGCGGCTTGGCCGGTACGGCTTCTCCGGCTCCTAAGATGCTGCAGCTCAACTCAAGCGATGCCACCGGCCACCCCTCTGCCGTCGGTGCTGCTGGCGGTACTGGTTTTCATGGACCAGTATACCAGTTAGGCCTCAGTTTGGAGCAAGGAAAAGGAGGAAGTTATTTTAAAACCGAGGAGGCTTCGGGCAGTGGGAAGCGCTTTCGCGATGACATCGTTGATGGTAGAACTAAGAATGTAAGATAAGCTTGTTTATTGTTTCCTCAGTTTTCTGTTAGTGTTGGCGGAAATTGACTGCAATTCATCCATAATGATTCTTGCGAATATAAAAATTAAATATTTATTTTTCGTCTCTTGGTTATGACTTTCAGTTGTAAGTGAGCTTAGCGGTTTAATGGTTTTAGTTTAAGAAGGTAGATTCCCCCCCCCCCCCAAAAAAAAAAACAGAAAGTTGGTGATATTATTTCCTTTTTCTCATTTCCCATGACTTCACGGCGGAAAATTGATCATTTCGGTAAAAATTAATCAAATATATTAACTTCTCTTTCCCAATTCCTGAAAGAACAAGACTGTTTCGAAACCTTTAAGACGTAAGGTTTTAGGCTGTGCTTGATTCATTTGTGTGTAGGGAACAGTAAATGAAAATAAAAAAGCTTGTGATGGATGTACAACAAAGGGGAATCAGTTGTTAGGACGGGTTTAATGCTTCACGTACAATTTGATACTAATGAAAGTGGGAAAGCGATGTTATTCTAGAAAACGGATAGGCAGTCATGGTCTGTCTTTTGTACAGGTAAAGGTTTTGACGTGGTCTTCACAGTAATGTATCACAAAAAATATAAAATGTGTAGCAAGTTATATTATTAACATGTCATGTTATTATAAATATCTCAGATGGTCGTGTTTGGTTCAAAGTACAGCCATCGAATAGCCTTATGGTGTGACAAAGTCATACTAGAATGGAATGAAATTAATATTCGTGAGACGGAATAATCTTTGAATTGCAAATTGTTTTAAGCTCATAGAATCGTGATGTGCTAAAAGTTGAGTTACTCAGGCCCTTGCGTAAGTATTTCTGGTCACTTTCTGGGATCTTTGAACCCTAGGACATGTCATTTAATTTGGAGCATCTAAGATTGATTTTTACTAATGGTTAAATAAATGATTTCATATTATAAAAATTAGATTCTATTCCATTTTACTTCAATTTTTCTATCATTGGGCTGGGACGGTGAATCTGTTGATCAGGAAGCATTTTCTCTTACTGATCCAATGAACTGTTTGCAGGTTTTTCATGGGCAGTCTATGCCATCTAGCATTCCTGCTGCTCCACAGCCACCAACAATGCGACCAAGGGTGCGGGCTAGAAGAGGACAGGCCACAGATCCACACAGCATAGCTGAACGGGTGAGTCTCAGGATATTCTCAGAATATTTGCATGAATGCTAATTGTCTGCTTCATCATGTTTAGATCTTAAGCATGAGGATGATTTGTTTAGACATTAACATCATTTGTCCATAGATGAGGCTTATTTTTAATTATTCTTTATGTTATCTTTTGATGACAGTTGCGCAGAGAAAGAATAGCGGAAAGAATTAGGGCCTTGCAGGAACTGGTTCCTAGTGTTAATAAGGTAAATGACTTTTCTTTCATGTTAATCACCATGTAGTTAGAAGCTGTATGTCTTGTAAAACAAAATTGACGTTTCTTGTTAGTAGGCAGTAATTTGATGCCTGTAACTTAACTAATTTATCATTTATATGTCTTCTTGGCAACTGATACCAGAGATAGTGATTACTATTATCACAGGAAAATGCAGAAAATGTTATTATGCTTTGTTTTCTCATAGTGTTTCTCAATATTGCTGCCCTGTAATATTTCATTTGAAAATTAGGTTCAAATTATTTCATTTGTTCTCATGTTATTTGTGCCTCTTCAGACAGATAGAGCTGCCATGTTAGATGAAATTGTGGATTATGTCAAGTTCTTAAGACTTCAAGTGAAGGTAATTGAAGGCGTCTTTGGTTGTTGACTTAAATGTTTCTCCATGATGGAAGCTATTATGTTTTATTCTTTTTCTAATACCAATTTCTCTGAATATGTTAAAAGTTCATTAAATCCCCTAGACATCAATTGGAAAACAAATTGATTGACCTATGATATGAATATCAAAGCGAGATTCTTCACGGGGTCCACTTCTTGAGTTCTCCACAAAGTGTGAGAAACCAAGAGTTTGGAATTCTTGTAGTGACTATTCAATTTGATTCCATTTGTCTTTCAGGTTTTGAGTATGAGTAGATTAGGTGGAGCCGGTGCAGTTGCACCACTGGTGACTGACATCCCATTATCATCAGTTGAGGTATGATTATTATAGAATAAAACGAATAAAAAATTATATACAACTCTTTCTTCTTTACGGTCAGCTTCTCTGATTAGTCCATGATGAGTACATAGGTCTTTAGTAGTAACCTTATGGGTTCTACAGATGACTATAGAATTCCCTATTATCACTGAAAACTATAGAGCAGTCAACTTTTAATTGAAAAATCCGGTAGCAGGTATATAGAACTGTATCTAAATCTATTATTAAAAAATTATTATATATCTCTTCAAACAATTAATCAAATCTAGTGTTGATTAGGAAGATGGAAGTGAAGGTGGAAGAAATGAAGCAGTGTGGGAGAAGTGGTCGAATGATGGCACGGAAAGACAAGTAGCTAAGCTTATGGAGGAAAATGTTGGAGCTGCCATGCAATTCCTTCAATCGAAGGCCCTCTGCATAATGCCGATCTCACTCGCGTCTGCAATATACCACTCGCAGCCACCAGACACCTCAAGCATAGTTAAGTCTGAGACTAATCCTCCTCCATAGAAGACCTCACCCTCCTCCAAGGCCTCACCTAACACTGCTGGGACCCCCCATTTATGTGTGTTTCAAAACCCCCATAATTCCAGTCACTGGATGCAATCAAAGTCAGATGCCATAGTTGTATCTTTTTTGCCTTTCTTTTTCTGCTTTTTTTTGTCAGTGCAGGGGTGGATGTCAATGCCTTGAAAATATGACAGACCCCACCTTGTCTTGCTAAGTTTCAAGTAAAAGGAAAGGAATTGTCAAAGTTCACTTGATAAGCTCTTGCTTTTTTGGATCAATGGGTGGAGTGGGGGTAGTGGAACATTACGGGAGCGCTTTTTATAATGTAATGGTTTGTGGGACCTTGTCATAGGATAGAGGGGATGTAATTTCTCAAGAATTTGAGACGAATAATGTTTGCTTTGAAGAATGCTGTTTTTTGCGGAGTCCCGCAGAAAATGATTATACTTTTTGTTTGTTATTGGGTGGGCGTCAGCTTTAACTCAAAAGTCACCAGGCTCATCTTTGTTCTCCTGAATAATTATTGGACGATAAACCATTGTAGAATTCGAAGAAGGACGGATAAGGGTGCTGTCTTCAACGGTTCATGCCCATAAGCCATTAATAAAATAGACAGATAGGACAAACATCTCCCGTTCTACAGAGCTTCTGCCCATTTATCAAATATCAACTCAACTCGCCTATGTGCGCCGTGTCTCCACTCTCTTTTGGGTCAAAAGAAAAGAAAATTAAGATAAGAAGAGGGAAAAAAAACTCTTCAATTGATCTTTCATCTCTAAAACAATAGATTTTTTGTCCTAAGCGCATATATCCTCTTATTTAAAGTGATCTCATTTAAGACGCTATTAAGTACTAAATGTGAGTATTTTTTTTAGCAGAAATTTTTTCATACTGCTAGAGATAATGCCTATTAGTAAAAAGTAAAAGATTTTTGTTTGACTCTAATACGGGAAGCTTATTTTCCTGTTTTATTGGAAAATAAGTTCCTGACTTGTATTTCGCAAAAACAACAAAATAAAGTTCCTAGCTTATGTATACACTATACACTAGAAAACGAGAAAAAGTACCCAAGTTGATATATGGACTCGGAAAAACAAGACACCACCTTCTTATCCTTCTACTATTTAATGTTATCTAGCGTTTTTGTTTCTTGAGAAATATATTATCTAAATAGAATTTCGTACGATAAAATATTATATTTGGAAAATAGTTTATCTCGAATAAAATTTACTATTGATCATACGATAATTATTGCAATTATAAAAACATTTATATGCAATTTAAAGTTAAAATCTATGTAAGATGTCACATTTCAAGATTTTTTTTTTTTTTTGCTAAAGCATAGTTATCTTTCTATTGGAGGAAATTCTATTTCGAGACACTGTCGGGCATTAAATGTAGGCACATCTCCCAGCAAGAATTTGAATATTGGTTTGTCACGTTGTGAGGGACTAGCTCTTTCAGTTAGATCCAATCCCCGTTGGTGTCACATTCCAAGATGAGAGTAGAAGAAAAATAGAGAAAGATAGTTCCTATGGGCCTACCCATATTAACGGAGCAAATGGTCTGAAGCCCAGTTATTTTTGGGCTTAAAAGGATATCATTCTTCAACGGGCTCATAATTAGAACGGATCTATGGGCCTACCCATATTAGCCAAGCAAATGGTCTGAAGCCCAGTTATATAAATTTTGGGCTTAACTGGATTCGGTTCAACTGGCCCATAAATTGACGGAGCTATGGGCCTGCCAATGATTAAAGGAGCAAATGGCCCAGTTACATTGGTTTTGAGCTGAAAGGGATTCCAGTCTTCAACTGGCCCATAATTTGTCGGCAAAAGAATCCCACAATTTGAACGGAGCTATGGGCCTACCCATGATTAACGGAGCAAATTGCCTGAAGCCCAATTATATAAGTTTTGGGCTTAAGGGATTCCATTCCTCCATTAGTCCATAATTTGAACACGGGCTTCCTCGAGCTATTTGTTCCATTCCGAAGCCCAGAGCAATGGACACCATTACCTCCCTTCCACGCCTGAATGAGCCTCCGTAGTGTGAAATACTTGAAGATAAGTCCCTGAGGAAGACGAGAAGCAATGGGGTTGGAACAAGCAGCTAGTTTGAGAAACCTGCACATCATCCCCCGTATCCCCAAATCTCCGTCTGTAATTCAATGCCCAAACCTTTTCCCTTCCGTATACTCTCCCTACAAAACCCACTCTTATAAGTGGAATGGTTGCCTCAAGTGCTCCATGAATGATTACAAAGACCCGTTCTACGCTAATAACGATCACTCCCAGCCTCAGGTCTCGTACCCTAAGCCCCCAGTGATTCCTTGGAAGAAGGAGCTTTGCAATTCCGTCAATCTAATCGGCATCGTCGCCATTCCTGTAGAAATTAAGAACTTTCCCTCCGGCAAAGTGGTCGCCTGGACCCGCCTCGCCGTTAAAAAAAATGCCACCCAGTCATTCTGGTACTTCACCCGTTTGCTATTATTCGTGGCATTTAAACATTGTTTGCTTTCTTGTTACCTCGTGGTTAATGATTTGCTTACCGGGTGGCAATTCGTGGGGCACTTCGGCGATGGCTTTTTCATTGACTTGCTCTCTGAAATTTATTTGCTACACTTCTAAGTCTTTAGCTTCACTTCAACTTCTAGAAAAAGGGGGATGGGAACTCATAGCTTTTCCCATAGCTGTTGCTGCAAGATGTTGCTATTTGAATTCATGTTGAGTACTCTTTCAAATGAGTAATATAGAATGGGCAGGAAGTGGAAAAGGAATTCCTATGGTGGTTGGTGCCCATAAAAGGAACAAAAGCACTGTTTATCATCTGAATAAGCAAAATGTTAACTAGAGCTCTATTGCATTGCATTCCCATTCAGTTGAGTGCCACTGTGTAGTTTCTTTTGATGATTTTTTATTTTGGCTATAGAGTAACAATATACTCTAGAATGAAGGGAAAAGTAGCTTTGCGTTTCCGGCCTAAAACACTTTCTTGGGATTTTTAAGAATTATGTTTCTCAGAGAAGTTACTTTTTCAAATGAAGGATAAACTTGACATTCTGGGATGAGCTTGCACATGTTGCTTTTCAGCATGTAGAGAGAGGCCACCAAATTTATGTTTCTGGTCGCCTGGTTACAGATACTGTCCAAAGCAACTTCGGGAAACCGCAGACCTACTACAAGGTTTTGTAATTTCCTATTTTTTATTTTATGTACGTATTTGTTGCCCTTCTGCAAGTGAATCACTATATTTTAGGTCTCAAGCAGGTGTTTGTTCAGCAGCTGAATTTCATTGAAAGGGGTCAATTACCAGTATCGACAAACAATCGCGAGTCTCATTCCACGATGACTGGCAAGTCATGTATTCAATCAAATATAGTGTCCACTATGTCTCACTATTGTTTTTCCGCTTAATGGCAGGCCTTTTTTCTGCTTTGATTTCAGATAGAAGAGGGAACTCCGGTGTAAATAATAATGGCTCTGCAGAAGAATTATGGCAAGCGTTCTTTGCTAGGCCAGAGGAGTGGTGGGACAACAGGAAAAACAAGGTAAATTGTTAATTATTATCTCCTATCCTTAATATAAGAGTTAGTAATTTGGTCCTAAATATAAGACCCCAATCTATTTTGTTTATCATATTTATCTATTTTTTTTCAAGGTATCTTTATAGTAGTTGTAGTTGTTGAAGGTATTATCAAATGTAATTTACTAAAATTAGTTAACTAGTTCTTATATTAAGGATTAGAGGTAGTATCTTTTAAATGAAGAAAAGGTTTTGCTTCTCAGCTGTAATTATATTCCTCGTGGAATCTGATGCCTGTTTAAATTTTCAAGTAATCCATTGCCTACTGAATGTTGCAATTGTTTTATGAATCCCTTCTCCCTGACACCTATATGGCTATATTTTCTCTTGTTGCCTTATTTTCCCGTCTTATAACTTTGACCCTTGTTACTTAACTTGCCATTGAGCATGGGGTGTCTGTTCTCCATTTTAAGCATGTACGCTCAGAAAAAAAGCAGTAAAATAGTAAATAGTTTTGCAGTTTGCTTTATATTCATTCTACCATTTGTTATATGGATTTAGCTCAATAATTAATTTCCGGTATAATAATCCAAACAAAAATTATGATGATGACCTCATACTATACAATCACTCATCTCTTAAGCGCTATATCAACAGCAACTGATCACCAACCTCTGCATGGCACGGGTGGTTTCCTGGTTTGTTTATGATTATTATGCTTCCATAGTTATAGGAAAGCCTATTTGAATTCATGGTGCCTGAAGTTTTTTGTAAAATTTGCAGAGGAACCCAAAGTATCCTGATTTCAAGCACAAAGATACAGGGGAAGCATTGTGGGTGGAGGGCAGGTCCAATCCACCATGGGTCAAGTCCCAGCTGGAAATAATGGATACGAGGATGGAGCTTTTCCCTGATCAAAATGCTAGGATGCCTGTAAGCATGGCGGCTGCTGATGAATTCTTGTCTTTCTAAAAGCTTGTGTCAGCGGTGCCCAACGTAGCATTTGATTTTGACGAGGATACTTTGTACAGTGTGTTACACTTTGAATGCAAATTATAGCTCTACTTCAGCAACTTACATTATTCGTTTGCTGTGCCTAATTTTCTGCGCTGATTGCGCACGTGTATCTTATTTGCTGAATTATTATCGTGAACGACATCAGAAACACTGTTTTGTCTTTATAAATAAAACCATCCTCGATATATCATTTTGGACAAGTGATTATATTTACTCAGATTCGAGGGGAAGTAGTATACTTGTTAATAAATTATTAAATAATGCCCATAAGGATGCCCTCTGTCAATACAACGTTTTCGTCCCTTAAACCTTGCGTTACTACAGAGACAAGGTTCATGTTTTGATTATGAGTCATACGATGATAGTCCCTTGTAGGAAAATCTTTTCAAATCGAGTTCCTCTTAAATTCAATAATTTTAGACAATTATCGAGAAATAAAATATAGGCAAGTCATATGCCATAAGGCAGGCGGAGGTTGCGGAGGCCTAATTCTTGATAATAGAGGTACGCTGGGGGAATAGGCTTCTATAGTGTTCAGGGCAGATATTCATGTGTGGGGAAGGGGAAGATGAGATTTGGAAGGTCTCTTCTTCATGCCTGGAACGCTGGGATTCGTTGGGTGGTTATTCTGATGCGTTATGATTAGTTCAAGGATGGCGTCTTCTTTCTTGCTGGAGTCCTATGCATTGATTCAAGAGATTTTGTCCCCCTTTTATGGGTGTGCAAGGCTACTAGGCAAGTGGACAACTGTAATGTCAGCACAGAGACAGAACACAGCGTGCAATGGCAGATACTGGGTCCTCCATAACATGGAATGAATGTGTGTAGGCTGAGTTAGATAGAGGACAGTATCACCATTTTGCAGAAACCGAATCCTGTGTCTGGCATTCCCACTTTACTCATTAATTTGGTCTGTGAACCAGAAAGTCTAAATTGGAACTTTCCTCCCTGGTACCCTACTTCTGGCCTGTACGTGAGGGCCAAATGGTGATCTGTCTTCTCTTATGAGAAAAAGAGTTGACTGGTTCTATTCACTGATTGGAGTTTAAGATCTGTTCTTGACATGACTGATATCAAACTCTAATCCCGCGCTCTGTTTCTGCAATGCTACAACACAAAATCCTTTTGCACCTGCGTGCCATGTTAAGCTGTCGACTGGCTAGCTTCATGCAGATATCGCAAACGATGTGGACGAAGATGCTTCACCAAAATTCAAATATAACGCGCCCACATCGGATCCGCCAAACTACCCGAACCCTGTAGCGACCTGTAGAGGCATCTTTCTGAAGTAGGAAATAACTAAAATACAAAGCCACAGTTCCTGGGAATTGATTTTCTGCTTGTTTTTTCCCAAGCTTTCGAGTTCATGACACACTGTCCCACTGCAAACAGTGAGTTTCTAAATCATCACTTTGACCAAGAAGTCGATTTTTCCCGAAATTGCTAATATCTTTAAAGAATGATTCTTGATCATAGAAAATGACATAAAGCTTTTTCATATTCGTCGACGAACCTGCATGATCCCTATTTATTGAACATCTTGAATAAGGTATTTTACTCACACAAATTGGAAGACTCCTGATGCCTCCATCTTCTTAACTTTAAGTAATAAGTGGACCAATATATATGGTGAACCAAGGCCATGAAATTTTTACGTCTTCATGATTGTGCTGTCATTGGCAAGCTTAAACTCAAGAAATTAGCTAGGGACATTATAATAAATATACCGGGAAAATTTTTCTCCTTTACGTCATTATGGTATGAAAAGTTTACTAGTTTACGTACGCAACACAGCATCTTATCGTATAAACCTGGCTAAACTCTAAATCTTAAACCCTAGATTAATTAATTACCTGCTAAACCATGATTAGGACCATCCCACTGGTAGAATATGTAATGTAATATAATTTACGTGTCCGACATGCAAGTTAAATCCCGAAATTAATAAAATCATGAAGCCAGGGACAATTGCCATCCTGTTTGATTTGACATCCCCATGTTACCAGGAGGTCTATAGCGGTGCCATTTATTGTAATTCTCGTGAGATATCTCAAACTCATTTCATCACACACACAAATATATGGAATTATTCCTTCTTTGGTCTCATTTCTTCGTATCATCAATGCCATATACGCAAAATCAACCGATTAGCATCAAAACTGGGACATGCACCCAAAATTCATGTCTTCATTTACAGCACACAAGACCAACCGACAACAAAAGAAATTAAAATAGCTCTGCCTATTTTCCCTATAATACTATCTCTGATTCTGATAGTTCAATTTAAACTACAAACTAAATCTCATATTAACAAAGAATATAGTATAACTGGCACAAGAACAGATCAAGAACAAAAAGATTTTATTATATATCTTCTGTACAATATAATTAGCATTAATTGGCTTCTTCTTTCTTATGAAAAAAAGAAGGAAAGGGGGGCAAAAATTTTTTTAAAAAAAAAAAAGGAAACAGAAGACCACATATGGCCAAGGAAGAAGACCTGAAATCCGCCGATACATAGATATAATGGGGAGGTAGAAAAAACTGTGTGTCTCTGTTTCTCACCTAGGTATATAATATATATATCTCAGGTCGCCCTTTTGTAATTGATGCTTCCATTTGGACAACCCAGGGGGGGGGGGGGGAAAGAAGAAGGATTTCTGATGTCGCCGTGGACTGTTTGAGCACGTAGCTACTACGTAAATGCGTGGATGATATGGATATGCATGCTAAGGTCATAGACAACCCAAACCCTTAGCTTCAGATCCTTTGATGATTCTGAGCCTTTTGCAGGAGCATGTGAACATCTCCCAGGGAACATCTCCAACAAGCATCCAATCGCCGTCTTTGTCTTCATATGTGGGAACATATTCAGATCCATTGTATCCCTCTCTTTCTGAATATTCACCAAAAGTGCACTCGAACATCTTTTCTAAGGCCTTGAGGACTTGTGGGTAGCTCTTAAAAACCTTGATATCTATCTTCCTTAAGTAAGGAGCACCAGCCATGCTCACTTTCACGTACCTTCCACTCTCTTCCTCCTTCTTTTGCTGCATACTATTTTTTCTGAAACTTCGCACTGGTGGCCATCCCACTACTTGCGCCCTGCCATTTCCAAAACAACACGTAACTGTAAGACATCAGACCCCTCCAAATACATATCAAAACAATTCAAGTTCTCTGAGAAAGATAAAGAATATATATCGTCACTTACTTTGCTGGTGGGCCATGGTCTGACTCGTTTTGATCACTTTTAGCATCACTACTACTCTTGCCTGTTAATTCCTCCTCACGACTTGTTTCCTCAGGTGAACATTTCCTTTTGCTTCCAACACTGCATCGTTTCTCTGGCTCGTCGCTGCCTGGCAATCCCAACCTTAGCTCTGTGTCCTTCAGGTTCAGCTCACCCATTGATACTGAATTCTCCATTTCTTTGATCTTCAATGATGATCAAATTTAACACTCCAGTTCTGATCTCTGAGCGACGGAGAGAAAGAGGTTTTGAGTTTATAAGCACCAAGACGGAATGAATGAAGATATGAGGCAGCTTAGCCCAATCCACCCAATTTTATAGTGGCTCGCCACAACAGCGAGATAAGGGACAATAGTATCTGGATTCCCTTGCTCTCATGGGGCACTGACTCAGCAAAATAGACCTACTTTCCATTATTGCACGCGCTTCCTCACCCGCCAATTGGGTGGTGACAAGGCAGACTTTTACACGTGGGACCCACACCCGCACACGGTTTGGGCAGGCAGCGCGTGGCGGGGGAAAGGACGCGGAAGAGACGAATAGACGGTGCCCAGGACAAGGGAGACAAGGGAGGAACAAGGTCGGGCAATGGCACTGAAGAACGTGGACCAGGAACGGACGGCTAATATTCTGTTGGTGGAATTTGCCGAGTGAATCTTGGAGCGTTGGATCACGGGCCCTTCGGGTAGGAACACGGCCATGTGAACAGGGAGCGTGTCCCACGTGGATGCTATTGATTGGTCGGGCATGATCATGTGGGAGGATGCAATCAATGAGAGAACTTGATGTGAATAGGTAGTTGCTTGTAGCTACATGACATGTGAGATGGTCAGCTCCATTTTTTATTCAACATAATTATACAAACCTTTTAAAAAAAAAAAAATTGAATACTAACCATAGATCCGACCTCAGACGAGGAAAACTTAACAGATACATGGAACTGGTACGAGGTCAATGGGGATCAGGTTATAAAACAAATGAATACTTCTATATGTACATGTACATTATTAGCGTATGTACGATTCAGTTTCTGCTTTGTATATACATTGGAAATTGCAGCATGTGAAGTATGTCATTCTCAACAGTTTTCGGGTCCCCGTTTTGAAGCCTTGCGTAGAGCTAAAAGTTGATTTAGGGTTAAAACCAATTAAGTGTACGTGCGCGTGATAATTAGGATCATCACTTGATGAACAATTTCTTTCGTACTATATTTCAAATTTCAAATAGTAATGGATATATAATAGATAATACGATAGGCTTTTGTTTTATATTAAGTTTGAAGTTATCTTAGACGTATTTGCTAAAATATAAGACGGTTGTACCGGTGGAAGTGCGAATAAGGGATTCATTTGATAAGTGCATGCATGAGAAAGTTTTCGTCAGCGACAACGATATCAAATCAGCAGTGTTACACTGTAAATAAAAGAACCCTTGAAAATGAAGCTTTACCAGAAAGTTAAAGGTGGTTGCTTTACAGTAGAGAACCAGATAATTAAAAAAAAAAACACCAACTAGCTACTTCAAATGGCAGACACAGATATTAGTTGGTGATTAAGTCATTGATCGGGCCACCACTTAATAACGAGCATGCAGCACAAGACTCCAAAAACAACTAAAAGAAAGGGTTAGGCAGGTGCATTTGTTGGTGCAAGCGTGCTAAAGAAGAAAGGAAAAAGAATAGCCAACGGGGCAAGCAAGAAAATTAAAAGCACGACAAGTAGTGAAGCACTATCTGAAATCATTCACAAAAACCAGATTAGCACATATATTTCTCTTCTGGACCCAACTCACTTCTCTTGGATCGATGCACCACACACACACTCACCAAGGCCCATCAACCTTTTCTCCCATCAAAATCACTCATCATGTTTGTTTATATCACTGTTTAGTTATCTTTTGCCCTTTCACTTGGTGGAGCGGGTTGGCAAAACTGTGGATGAAACCATAAGGAACACAACTTTGGATTTATGCGTAATAAATATGGAGAAAAAGGTGATTAATTAGTCGACGAGAGGCATATATGGTGGGAGAACTGATCCACGAGAGGTACACACGTGGGATGTGATTAATGTTGAAGGGTCAGATGTGGGCCTTAAGCCACACGTGGGTGATAGAATTCGGGGGTTTAAAGACGATAAAGGAGGTAGGGAATGAAGGCCCAGAAGTTATACGTAGGACAAAAGAGGGAGTCCCCACTCCCACGTCCTCCTTGCTTGCTTGTTCCCTCAATTCTGAATTCTGATTAATGACTGTTTTTTGCCATCTCTCCGTATGCTTACCATTTATGAATTCCCATCAATGCACTTTTATGAACGTGTATATATCATGAATAGTACAGCCCCAACACAGTTAAACAAGGACGTCTAATCCCATTGGGTTTTGATCGGAGCTCAACTATTTAAGCCAATAAGACTGGTTTTGGTCAGGCTCCACTCATTTACAATATCAAACGTACGTCCTGATTAAATTGATGAGCTCACCTTCCCCACCTCCCCACCCCCCCCCCAAAAAAAAGGAGAGAGAGAAAGAAAATTGCTGAACCAGAACGGTCAATAGGATGACCTGCTGCAAATTAAGTTCAAGTGCCCTCTTTGCTTTGAAAATTTATCGTGTTATTTTGTTTTTTTTCTTCTTGTGGATTCATCTATATCTTTTAACGGGAAAAGATCATAAAATTAATTTATTAGAAGGATGTGATCTTGACGTAGCAATGCTCAAGACAAGTATTAGGTCACTTAGGTGCACGAGGGTAACATATATGGTTAAGTCAACGTAGAACTTTCTTTGCTCAATGTTAACTTTGACCATACGCCTGGTTACATGGGTTAGTGAGGGTGTCAAAACAACGACAATACCAAGAGGTGGCATAATCCTCCACATAGTTGGACGTCGAAGTTGACCATTTTATCCGTACCATTACATTGACAAATTAAAGAAGGAAGAACGAAGCAGAGACCTAAGCCCATGTTTTCTTGAAAGTTTGTTGCAGCAAGACACACACACACACACACACACAAGCGGTCCCCCATTTTCTTATTCTGACGAGCAATACTTCCGTTTATGGGCGGTTCTGAGAGATTTATGATGGATCTGCGCAATTTATGCCCCATGCTTCAGCTGAGCCTCTTTTCCTCACTATCCCACCTTTTATTTCACTTCGCTCTTAAGATCAAGCTATCAGCAAATTTTGTTCCCATTCCGTTTACTTCAGAAAAAGAACATGTCAGAGAGAAGTCATGTCAGCAAAAAGAATTTTACTTTTACTTTGGTGTAAAAGCCTCAGTCCCAGATGGTCATTGGAGACGATAGTTGACATGGCGGATATATATATTCTGTGTGTTACCAAATGTACCAAATTAATGCATGTGAAATTATGAGGGACACTAAATATTTTCATGGCAAAATTGGCCCCTGTCTAGTGCCTGAACCAGTGGCGTGCATGTGCAGAGCTGACAAGAAGTGAATGCGAAACATTGACAAATTAATAAAACCCATGGATCCGCGCGTTGGTGCCAATGGAATTTCGAGGATATGGTGAAGCCAGGGAACCTTTATTTCTGTGTGTACACTTGTGGTAACTACAGAATCGAATTTGCATTTTGTCATTGACCTCACAAGAGAATCTGATCGCATGTATGTGGTGTGTGTGATCTATATATACATGCACCAAGATCCAGGAAAGAAAAAAAGAAGAAGCAATAATAATAGGTTTTAACGCTTTATGATCAGAAAAAGGTGTAGCTAGGTCCCTAGCTATATACAATATGCCCCAATAATCCTTCTAATGTGCTCAGACTTGAGATCAAATTCTGTGTGGGGGGTTTTTCTGCTGCTACAAACGTAGGTCCTCTCACCCTTTGACCTCTATATACCATATTCATTTTAATTTAATATATAGACCTTCCTCGTTAATTAACCACCGCCCATTCGCTCACTCAATAAAATAGATAGATCTCCGATCAGTATATCATTGATCAATTATATTTCAATCAGAATAAATGGCAAACGAATCATTATTGGTCTAATCACTCTCACCATTACACACACACACACACACACAGTACCATGTCTGATCATCTCTCTCTCTCTCTCTCTCTCTCTCTTCTCCCCTTGATTGATATATCTAAGTTTTCTTCCTTTAATTTGCCCCCGAGAGAGTCAAAAACCATTCGCTCCAAAAACGTACGTACGTACTCACTGTGGCGTGGCATGACAAGTGTATTATTAGATATAATAATGAAGAGGAATCTGAAGCAAAATAGCGAAAGGTTGGGGATGAAAGAGATAGAGATATGGGGTAATTTCGGGGAGGAGGATGCAAAAGAAGGGAAATGGTTGGGGTGAGTGGGGTGCCCTTAAGCGGCGCACATGGGATAGGGTTTGACACTTGGGGTTGCATTCCCCCAACAAACTCACATGCGTCTCTTCCTCTTCCCCTCTACCAATGAATCTTACCACATGCCCCTCTCTTACACTTGGGCCCCACTTCCTCTTTTTATATTTTCCCCTCCTTAATTCATCCTTCATTTTTATTGATGTCACATAAACATACATGACAGAGAGATATATATATGGGGGGCGAACATGGCCAACATGTGTGCGTACGATTCTCGAGCAACATCGCATGAATCAATGCCACAAGATTAATCTTGATCTCACACCCTATAACTAGGAACAGTTGAATGTGCCTGTCAAATAATTGCACCTCTTCATATCTACTTTTCTCCCCACAATATCCTGTTGGCTAACCTGCTTTTACTTAGCACATAGTATAAGGGCACATCCCAACATGATCTTTCAGCTTGTCTACAAAAGCACTTTCATTTTATTCCTACGTCTATAGCAAACCTAACCCTTTAACTACTTTTTACTGGCCAGATCCAGTGACCAAAGTGAGAGGACACTTTTTCCCTCCTAGCTAGTCTCTGATATATCGATCGATCCCATTCTATTTTTCATACAAGGATTAAACTCAAGCCTTCCCTCTAAAACAAAAGAAGCATATGTGCTCATAGAACTGGATCGTCTTAATAATAACCTTTGTGTTGATGAGTTCGTTTTTATGCCACAGAACATGAATCCGAATTGCATGGTTCTTAAAGGGCGACATGTCCTCATTTCAGAAGGAAGTAACACATTAAGTTTGACAAATACTCCTGTCCATTTATTTAGACCTATAGTCGACTATTATATAGGGACCATCAGATATTCTCTTGTTTATCGAAAAAAGAGAAATACAGAACAAAAATCCTCTTGTCATCACAGATTAAGAACCGTCACTTTCAGC